CCAGAGAATGGCTTGGAAAGGCCACCCTGCAGGTCACAGTGTCAGGCACAGCAAGCTCAGCAACCCAGAGCCAAACCGTCCTGGGGAGGGCAGGGGACAGACAGCGGGAGAGGGCAGGGGACAGGCAAAGCCCAGGCCTGCGCTCTCCCTTCCATTTCAGAGGCAACCCTGAGCTTTCCGACCCCTCAGCAGGTCGCAGCTGGGCTAGACCCCACCTTAGGAGCTGTGGGTGGTGGGAGAGTAAAGAGATGAGTGAACTATAGACGTCGGGTCCCAGGAATTCCCCTCTCTGACCATGACAGAGAGGCTAGCTAGAGAGCAGGCTAGAGAGCAGAAGCCCCGCACCCCACAGGTGGCCTGCAGGGTGGTCATGAACCCCGATGGGTCAGAGGTCCTGCTCGGGTCATGCTAACGGACTCCCGACATGATGAGGTTACCCCGTGCTCCTGGGGAAAGTAAGACAGCTGGGTAACCCTGCCTGTGTGTTCACCGTTGCGTGTCGTCCCCGTGCTAGCTGTCCTGGCCGGACTTTGACTTGGGCCTGCTGTGTGGCAGGGACCGTCCTTCCTTTCACACCCCTCCCCGCCTCCCACGGTCCACTACCAACATGGCCCCAGAGCCCCTTGCTAGAGAGCAGGGGTGGGGCCGAGGCCCAGTCAGGGTCACTGCTGGGTCCTCCCTGGTGACCAAGCCCCCGCACCCACAGAAAGCCCCCTCAGCAGGACAGGCAGCGCTGTCTCAGCCTGTGACCTGGGTTTGGGAGTGCAGTGCAGGGGGGACAGGGGCAGAGACAGAGGAGCAGGAGCTGGGGGCCAGGACCCATATTTCTTTGTCCTCTTATTTCACACTGGCCTCACACGTGCCACACACAACTTCCCTTCTCACCTGCAGCATGTGTCTGTGTGACTTCGTCACCCAGTCTGTGTTCCCAGCCCGGGCCTCCATTGTCTCCTGTGTCGTGGTCAGCAGTGATGGGCAGTTCACACCGGCCGCCAGCCTCTTCTCTCAAGTCTCTTGGTGGTCCTGCGTAGCCTTTATCCCCTCTGCCTTTCCTTTGCCACCACGGTCATGCTGGCCGGCACTTTCACATCTTCTTCCTGGTGCCCTCTAGGGCCACTCACACACTCGACTATGTGCTCGCTGGGGATCACCCACTGTAGGTGTTTGCACACGTACTCATCAGGGGTTGGACTCAACCACAGTGCATGGTGCATACTGGTGGTTGCGCCCGAGGCGGGGGCCACTATGGTGCTCATATATGCTGGCTGTCGGGCACTCTGGCCGTACTCCAGAGACCTCCAGCCTGCGGCAGCCTGTGGGATGCCAGATGGCAGAGCTGCAGTGGACACGCTCGGCATATGTGAGTGGCACTAGGAATCAAACCCATGACCTCATGCTTGCAGGGCAGTTGAGTTTAGCCACGGAGCCATCCCTTGAGCCCCCCTTCTCTGTAAACCTTAGAATCCACTTACGTGGATGGGGCGGGGGTGGTGGGGCGGGGCGGGGGGAGTCTCAGATTTTATTGGAATTACACTGAGGTTTATAAATCAGTTTGGAGCAAATTAAACATCTTTAAGTGATCCTTCCCTTTCTGTTGTGTTCTTCTGAAAATTCTGATGACTAGACATTGGACTGGACCAGAGAGTACAGCAGGCAGGGTGCTTGCCTTGCATGCGGCCAACCCAGATTTGTTCCTTGGCACCACCCTGTGAGAAGTATCCCTGAGCAACACTGGGTGTGACTCTAAAAACAAAACAGAACAAAAACCCGAAAATTGGAATTCAGATGGATGGTCTAACATCTAGTGTTTTTTTTTTTTCATTTCTGCCTGCTCCTGTTTTCTAACCTCTGGCTCCCAGCTCATCTTTGTTTAAGGCTCTTGTTTCTCTTGGGAGAGGGGACTCTCCCATGGTGCTCAAGGAGCTCCACATCACTCCCAGTGACCCTTGACCTAGGACTACACACGGACAGCTTGATGTGGTCCTACGTGGTCTCAGTGGTGCTGGGGCCCACCGGGGTCACACCGACTGGTGCTCAGGGACAGGGCAGTGTTGGGAACAGAACTCGGGGTGTTGCATTCCACCCCTCTGAGCTATTTCCCTGCCCCCACCTCTTCTCTTTAAACTTGGAGTTTTGCAATCTGCGTGGGATAAATCCCCCATCTGAAGACTGTGAAAATGTCTCCGCGAGCCTGATTCTTCTGTCTACAGTGTTGGCTGGCGCTCAGATTCCCTCGTTCCCATGTATACTGTGGGGTGTTTTTTCTTTTTCAAACTATGACCTTATTTATTTTCCTTGGAACTTTATCTTGGAATTCTCTTTGGCCTGGTTTGACATGGTTTTCCTTCAAGGAGGGTTTCCATTTTTTCCTCTATCCTCAGAATATGTTCTTTGTTTTTTTTAATGGTGCCAGGAAATGGCACCCAGGGCCTCATACGTGCAAGGCAAGCGCCAGCTCTGCCCCTGAGCTCCATCTCACGCGCCTAGCCCCAGTAACACTTTTCTGTTTTTGTGGCCACACTGGGTGGTGCTCAGCGGCTAATCCTGGGCTCAGGAGTGGAGTGGCCCTTGGCGGCGGTGCTTGGAGCATAGGGATTGAACTGGGTTGAACTGCTGCAAGGCGGGCACTTTATTCTGGGTCCTGTGTTCCTGGCTCTAGCCCAGCAGCACTCTTAACGTCTGAGTTTTGCTTAGGTGAGTGAGTTGGTAACCCCCAGGAGGACCCTTGGGGCTCCTGATAAGGGGGTCCTTCTCTTCTTGTCACTTCCTGAGGGTTCTGGAGCAAAGAATGGAATCATTGTAGCTGACCCAACAAGATCCCTCCTGCCTCGGGCTGTCACAGGACATAGTCGGATGAAGCGTGAAAGTTAGATACTTACATTCTGGCATCCTTGGGCACCTTCTCTCCCTGCTACCCAGCCAGTGCGGGCAGCCTGGGGCCTCTGCCCAATAGGACCCAAATTATAGTGGGAGTTGAGCACTTTTTTGTTTTGTTTTGGTTGTGTGTTTGTGGAGAGGGCTTGGGGCACGGGGGGGGGGGGGGGAGGCGGGGGGCTCCATCAAACCTGAAGCCCCACCTTTGCTGGGCAGCTGCTCTGCCACTGAGTCGAGTGCTTCAGATCTCTCTGCAATCAGCAATCAGATATTGCTGCTGATTTTTGTGTGTTGTTTTTTGGGCCTCCCAAGCAGTGCTCAGGGTACTGGAAGGCCCCTCCCAGAATCTCAGCTGACCCCTCTGGGCGTTAAGGCCTATGCGGTATTCGGTGGGCCAGCCCAGGTGGGAGTCCCTGCAGGGTCCCCTCATGCTCTGGACTCATTATCTGATGACCTGACTCAATTGCTTATGACTTTTCTTTCATTTCTTTTGGGTGTGGAGGCCACACCTGGTGGTGCTTGACAGGGATCGGCCCCGTCAGGGCTTGGGTTCTGTGCCTAGAGATCACTCCTGCCGGGGATCGGGGCCATGCTGGGACCCAGGCCAGCCGCATGCAAGGCAAGTGCCCTGCCCCACTGTATTAACACTCTGGCCCCCTACTCATGATTTTTAATCATGAAAGTGTACAAGGATGAAATCAGCAGAAAATTTTATATTGGCATAAAAACGTTTTTCAATCGTCTCTGACAGGAATATAAAAATAAATGTAAGAACAGCACCTCAATGCTGCTGACACAGATGGGACGGCAGAAACCGGAAGGAGCGAGGTCTGCATGCCACGGTGCTTACTGCCGTGGTGGGTTGCTGGGGAGCAGCCCCCCCCCCCCACACACACACCCTGCAGGTGGTGTGTCAGCTGTCACAGGGTGGCTTTTCCAGTTAGACAGTCCCATTTTCAGCGGGTTTCTGTGCAGTCTAGGACAAATGACCAACTCTCTGGGCCTCAGTTTCCCCATCTGTTGTGTTGTCCCGAGAAGCCAGCGAACAGAAGGGGTCTGAGGTGTCTCTCCTGCCATTGGCACAAGTTGGCTCAGAAGCAGTGGCAGTCACTGTTAGTCCACTTCTACATTGTTCCTAGAATTTTTAGATTTTTTTAAGCGAATTCTGGCTCGCTCTGATAAAGGGGTCCTTCATGTCGCATCACTTCCTGAGGGTCCTGGGGCAAGGAATGGAATCACCGTAGCTGACCCAGCAAGATCCCTCCTGCCTCGGGCTGCCACAGGATGAAGCGTGAAAGTTAGATACTTACATACTGGCATCGTTGGGCACCTTCTCTCCCTTCTTCAAGCCCATGTTTTCCCTTGGACATATGTCTCACTTGCTGTCTCTATGTATCTTTCCTTTTCCCCACTCTGGAGGAGCCCTTGTTCTCTCCTGAACACATTTTTTTTTCTCTCCTCTCACATTTTTCTTAGCAAGTTATGTTCAATAAAAACTATCTTGCTTCACAAAAAAAAAAAAAAGTGGGTGGGGGCGGTGTCTGGAGTGATAGTACAGCAGGCAGGGCACTTACCGTGCACACAGCCAACCAGGTTTGATCCCTGGTACCTATATACCCCCCACCCCAAGCCCCACCAGGAATCATCCCTGAGTGCAGAGCCAGGAGCAAGCCCTGAGCATAGCTGGGTATATAGCTCAAAACCTGAAACACACAACCCAAACAGGCAGAGAGCTAGCTCAAAGGGCTGGAGCATGTGCTTGTATGTGGGAGGTCCAGGGCCAGGCCCTGGCACCACATGGTCCCTCTAGTACCACCATAGGTGGCCCCCAAGCACCTCCAGGATTAGTACAAAACCCACATAAATCATAAGAGCACCACCGGAACATGTTCTTCCTTCCAGTCTGAGAAGGAGTGAAACTAGGATGTGAACCACGGCTATGGCCCCAGGCCGCACACGCTCTGCTGAGTGGCGTTCCCCTCCTCCGGTTCCGTGGCCTTCCCTGACTCCAGGGAAAGGCCCGGAGTGCTCAGTGCTCAGGAGCTAGGCGGCCGGGGCGCTGGAGGGCTGGGAAGGGGCCGGGCTGCTGCCCCAGAGACTGAGCCCTCTCCCTTTGTCCTGCCCAGGCCGCAATGAGCCCCTGAAGAAGGAGCGGCTGAAATGGAAGAGTGACTACCCCATGACTGACGGGCAGCTGCGGAGCAAACGGGACGAGTTCTGGGACACGGCGCCCGCCTTCGAGGGCCGCAAGGAGATCTGGGATGCCCTCAAAGCCGCCGCCTATGCCGCCGAGGCCAATGACCACGAGCTGGCCCAGGCCATCCTGGACGGTGCCAGCATCACCCTGCCTCATGGTGAGCCAGGGGCTGAGGGCTTGGGAGTGTCGCTGCAGGGAGAGCCAGGGGCCTGCAGGATGTGGGACCAGATCAGGCAGGCAGCCCTCTGGGGCAGAGTCCAGGAGTGGGGACATGTGGAAAATACATCAGCCTGGCTGCCAAAGACAGAGAAGAGTACCAGGAGGGTCCGCGCAATGTGACGGGAGCAAGCCTGGAACTGTGGGGGGGGCACGCGGGCACCCCAGAGACCTGGACGCTGGGCTGCTAGGAGGGGTTCCTGTGTGCGGACGCCTGATGGAGGCCTCCACTGCATCGCACCCATGCGCAGAGCAGCCCCCGGGACTGTGTCAAACCGAGAGTCTGACACAGGCCTGAGTTCAGCGGGAGGATTTCTGCTTCCGAGCTCTGCGGCCTGAAACTGAGGAAGCAGTCTGCTTCACTGACCATTGGCTGATGAGAGTGGCTGGGACCCCCCACCCCCACCCCAACAAATGGTTGTTAGGATCCAGCAAGACAGGCACAAAGACCCTGTTTACTCCAGTCCAGGACTTCGGGGCTGCAGACACAGTGAATGAATCCAGTTCCACATGTAGTGCACTGTACAATGGGGCCCTGGGGTCGCAACCCTCAAGGGAGGGCAGGGCCAGTGCCCTCTGTCTCCTCCTTGGGCTCCTGTCAGCTGCCCAAGTCTATGCCCAGGGAAGAGTTGCTGAACAGACTGGCAGAGTCAAGTGATTTTCCATGGCTGAATGGACCAGGAGCATGATGACACTGGCCAGCCCCCACAGGCTGGCCCTGAGCGCCCCTCCACTGGCCTGGAGACACTTGTTGTGGAGTAGCCTAATAGGCGGTTGGTCTGCTCGGGCCACTGTAGTGAGGAACCCCAGGTGTGATGGTAGAAGCTTGTCGCTCACCCTTGGAAGCTGGGGAGCTCCAGGTCAGGATGCCAGCTGGAGTAAGGGTTTGTGGCGAGAGCTCTGTCCTTGGCTTGTTTGTGGCCTGTCCCGTGCTGTTCCCTGAGTGGGTGGTCAGTGGGCGAGCTCTCTTGTAAGGGCACTGAGCGTGTTGGCTGGGGGACCCACCTCTGTGGTCTCACTAAACCTTGATTTCTTCATCAACCCTGACCTCCAAACACTGGTGTCAGGGCCAGAGCAATAGGACAGCGGGTAGAGTGCTGGCCTTGCCTGCAGCTGACCCGTGTTCAATCCCCGACACCCCATAGGGTCCCCCAAGCACTGCCAGGTGCGATACCCAGAGCCAAGAGTAAGTCCTGAGCATCGCTGGGTGTGACCCCCCCCCCCAAAACCAAACCAAACCCAACCCAGCGATGCTGGGAGTCAGGTGTGCAAGAGCAGAGCGTCTGGGCAGCATGGGTGAGTCCGTGGCAGCGGGTCCCTGAACACCCTGCCTTTCCTGCAGGCACCCTCTGCGAGTGCTACGACGAGCTGGGCAACCGCTACCAGCTGCCCATCTACTGCCTGTCGCCGCCCGTGAACCTGCTGCTGGAGCGTGCCGAGGAGGAGAGCCTGGAGCCCCCCGAGCCCGCGCCCAGCGTGCGCCGTGAGTTCCCGCTCAAGGTGCGGCTCTCCACGGGCAAGGACGTGAGGCTCAGCGCCAGCCTGCCCGACACGGTGGGCCAGCTCAAGCGGCAGCTGCACACGCAGGAGGGCATCGAGCCATCCTGGCAGCGGTGGTTCTTCTCCGGCAAGCTCCTCACAGACCGCACTCGGCTCCAGGAAACCAAGATCCAGAAAGACTTTGTCATCCAGGTCATCATCAACCAGCCCCCACCGCCCCAGGACTGAGGAGCCTGAGGACCCTGGGACGAGGGGCACTGGGCCTCCCCCGGCCCACCGCTGCCCTCCAGGGGCTCCTCCCTGCCTGCCCAGTGGCTGCTGGGCGAGGGGCCCTCCCCGATGCCCCCCCTAGCACCCCGGAAGCAGTGCTGCCACACACAGGCCTCGCCAACCTTGTGAGAGCGACATCGGCCGGGGCCCTCCCTCGCCTCCCACCTTCCCCCAAGGCGGCGGGTTCGAGCCACGAGGGCCGCCCCGAGGCTGGTGCTGCTGCCCAGATCACTCCGGTTTTCTGCTCAGGGTCTGAAGCAGCTGCTGTCTCCCTCCCCCGCCCCCCTGCCTCGGCCTTGGGCAGCCCATTCCTGGGCCCGGTGCCAGTCCCTCAGAGGGCAGGGGACTGCCACAGGCCCCAGGAACCAGCGGCCCAGGGCTGCGCTCTGCCTCTTCCTGCCCCCAGCACAATTGGCAGAAGGGAGGCAGGTGGCCAGAGGGGCGGCCGATGTGGCAGGGGTCTGCCGGGGCCATCTCGTGACTGTGACCCCAGCAATGGCCTCCCGGCAGGTCCCTGCATACAAGCATACCTTCATATTTATCAATAAAGCCTTTTGCTCCTTCCCCCTCTCTCTGCTTGACTTTGACTTTGGGTTCTCCTGCAGCTCGGTGGGGGTCCCTGAGCCAGTTCTTGTTGGGAGGGGGCGGCCTGGCCTCCCCCAGAGAGGAAGTGGAACAAGCCTCTAATTGCTGTTGCTCAAGGCCACGTTCTCATGGGCCCTCAGAAAAGTCACCCTGACCCTGCTCATCTGCAAAGGAGCCGACTACTCCAACAGCTGGGGGCATTCAAGGGCACCACCCATGTGAAAGTGTGCAGCGTGTGCAGGCCCGGAGCCCTAGGGAATAGCTTGGCAGCTTAGAAGGCCCCTGAGCCGGCGAGAGGCTGCAAGTGGAATCCCTGGTGCCACCACATGCATCAGGATGATCCTGCAGCTCTGCCGCCATCCCATGCCACAGGCAATTTCTGGCCACACCCAGATGCACTTGAGCCCCACAACTAAAGGGGTGTGGCCCCATGGCAGCATGGCAGCACATAAAGAATGTGAGCCTGGTGTGCACGTGTGCGGGCCCCTCAAAGGAGCACCTCCCTGGGCACACAGAGCCAGCAGTTCTGTGAGCTCCGTCATCACGGAAGCATTTCCAGCAGGAGAGTCTCTGGAAGGCGTGTGGGTGTGCTGGCCTCGCAGGAGGAATGGCTTCAGCCTGCTGAGCTGGGAGGGGGCTGCGTCCAAGTTGGGGGTGGGGGGCTCCACGCAGTAAGGAGATCCTGGGGGGACACTATCCCAGGGAACATTAAAGCAAAACCCTGACAAACATGTGTTGGAGCAGGTGTCCACTTGCCACAGGGCACCAGAGAAGAAAAAGGGTCAATTACTTGAAGGGAAACCCTGATAGGCAACTGGGACTCAATATCCATGTCAACTGAGTCAAAGGACGAGGGCACCCCTAAGGGGGTGAGAGAGATGCTGAGGGGACTCTGAGAGGGGTTGAAGGAGACCCTGGGGGGACCCTGAGAGAAATAAGGGAGACCCTGGGAGGACCTGAGAGATGGTACAAGAATCACTGGGAGGACCCTGAGAGGTGAGGGAGACCCTGGCGGGATCCTGAGAGAGAATGAGAGAGACCCTGGGGGACCCTGAGAGAAGATGAGAGACCTGAGGGGGACCGTGAAAGAGAGTGAGGAAGACCGTGAGGGGACTCTGAGAGGGGATGAGACCCTGGGGGGACCCTGAGGAGATGAGAGAGACTCTGGGGGGACCCTGAAGGGATGAGAGAGGCCCTGGGGGTCCCTGAGGGGATGAGAGACCCTTGGGGGACCCTGAGAGGGGATGAGGGAGGCCCTGGGGGGACCCTGAGAAGGGGTGAGAGAGACCCTGGGGGGACCCTGAGGGGATGAGAGAGGCCCTGGGGGGACCCTGAGGGGATGAGAGAGACCCTGGGGGTCCCTGAGGGGATGAGAGACCCTTGGGGGAACCCTGAGGGGATAATAGAGACCCTTGGGGGAACCCTGAGGGGATGAGAGAGGCCCTGGGGGGACCCTGAGGGGATGAGAGAGGCCCTGGGGGGACCCTGAGGGGATGAGAGACCCTTGGGGGGAACCCTGAGGGGATGAGAGAGACCCTGGGGGACCCTGAGAGGGGATGAGGGAGGCCCTGGGGGGACCCTGAGAAGGGGTGAGAGAGACCCTGGGGAACCTTGAGAGGGTGAGGAGGACCCTTGGAGGGACCCTGAGGGCTGAGGGAGACCTTGGGGGTCTCTGAGAGGGTGAAGGAGATCCTAGGAGGACCCCGAGAAGGGATGAGGGAGACCTGGGGGGACCCTGAGAGGTGGTGAGACAAACCCTGGGGGAACTTGTAAGAGGGGGTGAGGGAGGCCCTGGGGCGTGAAGGGCACCCGGACCTGGCCGGCTGCGCGGTGGTGCTCCCGCCCCGAGGCCGCACTAGGGGGCGCTGTGGGGCCGCCCGCGCCGCGCGGGTGGCACCGTCCAGCAGGGGGCAGCGCCGGGCCCGGGTTCCCTGGGCGCGCCGGGGTGAAGGGGACGGGAGAATCGGGCGCGTGAGCTCATGGCAAAGGCGCCCGGCAGCGCGGGGGTGGCCGCCCGGGTCTATAAAGGCCCCGCGGCCCCGCGGCCCCGCAGCAGCGCCCGGCAGCGCCATGGCCACCCCCGAGGCCGTGCAGGCGGCCACGGCGCTCATCGAGCAGCGCCTGGCGCAGGAGGCGGAGAAGGAGGTAAGGGCCGGATTGCGGGGCACGCGGGGCGGGGGCTCTGGGGAAACCCAGCGGACCCCAACCCTGTCCCAGGGCGAGGCTTCAGCCCCAAGGACCGGGCTGGCCCAGCCGGACAGTGGCCCTGCCTGGAAGGCGTGAATGCCCGAGAGCCCCCAGCCGCAGGCAAGGAGCAGAGACCCTCCTGCAGGGCAGCAGGGGGACCCCCTGGAAGAGAGGAGCAAGCGTCCCGCCTGCCGGCCACGCTCTTTGGAGGGAGGAGGGTGTGACGGGCCCTTCCCGTTCTGCTGGGATAAAGGAGAAAGTATAGAGGGGCTGGAGCCATAGCACAGCAGGTAGAGCGTTTGCCTTGCATGCGGCCGACCCGGGTTCGATTCCCAGCATCCCATGTGGTCCCCTGAGCACCGCCAGGAGTGACTCCTGAGTGCAGAGCCAGGAGTAACCCCTGTGCATTGCCGGGTGTGACCCAAAAAGCAAAAAATAAATAAAATAAACGGAGAGGGTATAAGGATGCAGGCCCACCCCACCCACCCTCCATTTTCCTTACATTGCTCAGCGAGGCCACCCCCTCGTATACCTCCTTTCCCGTGCCAGCCAGTGCCCGTCAGTGGAGTGACGCCAGGGGGAGAGGGCACAGAGGGGCTGGGAGTGCTCCCACTCCGAATTTACAGGACTGTGAATTTCGGGAGAAAGGACGGGTGGCGGGTACCAACCAGAGGCACAGGAAATGCACTGGGCGCTGCCAGCCAGGGGGACAGGCAGCTCCACCAGCCCCGAGGATGGCTCCTTATTGGGGGAAATGTGGGCCCCAGTGGAGAGGGAGACCCTCATGCGTGGGCAACGGGGCCGAGGGGGACTGGGAGGGCAGAAAAGCTGAACACTGACAGGAATGTATTCCCCCCCCCCCCCCCCCGCCCCGGCATGTGCTGGCAGAGCCGCCAGGTGAGTCATGCTGCCCTGGATCAGGGACCCTGCAAGGGGACACTGCGGGCACCTCCTTTCACCTGGCACATAGAGCAGCCAGCACCTGGCAGCCAGGACCCTCAGCCTGCCTTCCCACCAGGCAGTGCTCAAGGACCACTCCTGGCAGGGTTCTGGGACCATACTGGGTGCAGGGGATCCCAACACCATACCGACCTACCGTACTATCTCTCCAGCCACCCTCCCCTCGGTGTAGTTCAATATCAGAAGAGGAACAGAAGGGTCAGAGGAGCCTCAGTGCTTGAAAAAGTAAATGTAATTCATGGCGTAAAAAGTCACTCCAGTAGCCAGAGAGTTAGTGCTGTGGGCTTAGCACTTGCCTTGCCCACAGCTGACCCAAGTTTGATCCCCAAGCCCATCAGGAATGATTCCGAGCGCAGAGCCAGGAGTACGCCCTGAACACCGCCGAGAGTAGCCCCCAAATAGAACAAAACAAGTTTCCCTGCAGGCCAGAGTCCAGGGGTTAAGGTGCGTGTGGCTGACCCTGCTTTGGTCCCCAGCACCACGTGGTCCCTGAGTGCCACTAGGCGCAGCCCCAGAGGCCCCTGGAGACTGCAGGGTGCCTGGGTATCCCACATCCTCAGGCCAGCAGGCTGGGAACCCTGGGAACAGCTCCTTAGCCTTCTGAGCACTCCATGGGAGCCAAACAATTCTGTAAGAGGTCCCTTCAGGTGCCCTTCACTTTGCTTTGCTATAGACCCTTGGCAGCAAGGGGACAAGTGTCTGAGCCAGCCTGGGGGCAAGCTGAGGTGGGGGGGACCCCAGAACCAGCCAGGATAAGGGTCCTGAGGTCACACACCTGGCAGGTGTCCTTGGAATGGCGGGGGGCTACCTGCCTCCCCATATCCTGTGGGCAATCTCCGGCATGTCTTAATTCACCAGAAACTCCAGGGAGCGCCCCCCCAGAAGATGGCAATGGACATGCTGGTGCTGGAGGATGAGAAGCGCCTCGGGGCTCAGAACCGGGCCTTACAGCAAGTGAAGGTATGTCCGCGCCTGCGCAGGACGCGAGCCAGGCAGGCACACAGACACATGCACAACTTACAAACACATAGACACTTGGTGGTGGGGAATGTTCACTGGTGGAGGGCTGGGTGTTTGATCATTGTGTGATTGTAACCCAAACATGAAAGCTTGTAACTATCTCACGGTGATTCAATAAAATTTAAAAAAAACACATAGACACACACAAACACACACATACATAGGCACATAATACACACACACAGAGATACACATATGTGCTTACAGACATAGACACATAGGCCCACACATACAAACAAAGGCACACACACTTACAGACACAGAGGCACACACATATACACAGACACAGATACACACAGACACAGAGAAATGCACTTACACCTAGGCACACACATATGCACATACATATACAGGAATAGACATACACAGAGACACACAGAGACACATATACAGACACAGACATAGAGACACAGAAATGCACTTAGAGACACACACATCTACACAAACCTACACATACACAGGCACACACAGACACATAAATAACGACACACACATATACACACATGCTTACAGACACACAGGCATACATATACACATACATACACATGATCAGGCACATACAGACACACAGAAACACATGTATACACATACGGGAACACAATATAGACACAGAGACACAGGCACACACACACACAGACAAGCACACACTTACACACAGGCACATATATACATACATATAAACTCATGTACATACAGACAGACAGGCACACAGACTAACGCACAGACGCATATCCATATACACCCCTACATAGACAACAGATGTGCATCTGTTCAGACACATACACACATGTATCTATGCATGCACACACAGATACATACTCTTAGCAGACCGCCCAGCCCCACCCAAACCTGCAGGGCCCCAGTCTCCCAGGGAACAAAATCCCAGGAGATCGTTAGTGAAGCCTGAGAGGTGGGCTGGAGAACAGGGAGTGTCACAGGAACACTCCCCATGGGCTGGAAGGCTGGGGACTCTGGGCCCGAGTGTCTGAGTAGCCAGAGCAGACCCCGAGCAGAGGCCCCTCTGGGGCGCTTGTCACTTTCCCATTGGAACACCAGGCCGGACACGCATGGCTTCTGTGGCTGACCCCCATGTGTGGGGAGCTGAGCATTTGGATGCTCTTCAGAAGCCCCGGGCTGAGGCCTGTCCCAGTTTTCCCTCTTATGTGACCCATTGACACTGAGGCCCTGACCAGACACCTGACGCCTCCCTGGCCCCTGCTCTGGGTCTCCTGGCCACCTAGTTCACAGGAACTACACTGGACTCTCTCGAGAAAGCCTTCCTCTCCAGCTTAGCCTGGAGGGTCCCCGAGGCCCCCCAACTCCGTCCATTGTGAGCGGATTGATGGGCCCTCCCCACAAAGGGCCAAGAACGCGTGCGCAAGACGTCCCTGGATCTGCGGCGGGAGATCATCGACGTGGGGGGCATCCAGAACCTCATCGAGCTGCGCAAGAAGCGGAAGCAGAAGAAGCGGGAGGCCCTGAACGCCCCGGAGCCGGCCCCAGAGCCCGAGGAACTGGTAAGGGTCCTGGGAGAACATGGGGGGATGTCAGAGCGCAGGTGAGACCCTAGAACCCTGGAGCTTCAGGAGCTGGTGAGGTCCTGGGAGAAGGGTCGGGGGGACATGGGGGTGCAGGTGAGACCCTAGGACCTCAGAGCCCGAGGACCCGGAGAGAGTCTTGGGAGGAGGTGTAGGGGACTGAGTGAGGGAGTGCAGGAAGACCCTGGAGCCCCCCTGCAGACCCCTGTGTTCTCCAGACGGGCCCCGTGGATGATGAGACGTTCCTAAAGGCGGCGGTGGAGGGGAACATGAAGGTCATTGAAAAGTTCCTGGCTGACGGGGGGTCCGCGGACACCTGTGACCAGGTGAGACGCCTTCTGGCCTGTGCCCTCTGAGTGCCGCCCTACCTGCCTTCTGAACACCTGTGGGATATGGGACCCCCTCTTCTCCTGCAGGGATTTAGAGAAATTATTCGGCTGTTTTCGACATATGAAGGCACGAATGCCCCATGGTTCCCTAAGCACTGAGCTGGGAGTAGCCCCCATGCACTATTGAGGATGGACCCCAGATAAAACAGTATAAAGGCAATTGTGGCAGAGCCAGCCTCGTGTGCTTGGTTGGCACTGAGATCAGAGGGCTCAGAGACAGGTCTGGGCAGAGCACGGGGGAGCCGTAGGCAGAGAACCCGGGAACCCTGCCCAGGGCTCAGCGTCCAGCTGGGGGGCAGCCTGGCTCTCCGCCCTGGTGGCTCTTCGCATGGAAGGTCCAGCTCTGATAGCGTCTCTGGGAACAGTTCCGCAGGACAGCCCTACATCGAGCTTCCCTGGAGGGCCACGTGGACATCCTAGAGAAGCTTCTGGAGAGTGGGGCCACTGTGGACTTCCAGGATCGGGTGAGCAAGAGGGCCAGGACTAGGTGGGAGGCTGGAGGTGCGTCCAGAACCAACCTCCTTTCCCTGCAAACCTGGGCCACAGGAGTTTGCCTCGGGGGTCAAGCCCCACGTCTAGTGGGTTGTAGGGCCGTAGGCGGACCCCAGCTCCTCCCTGAGCCCCCTCTGTAAGTCGGGGTTGGACTTGCTGGGACCCAGAGGTGCTCTTGCTCTGCCTTGTGCACTCCACGGGGCATTCCTGCCCTGTTCCTCTGGATTTGTTCTTGAATTCCAGCCTGGGGTCCGTCCCCCTCACCCCCCAGCACCTCCTTCCCTGGTGCTCTGCAACGGCCCGCCTTCCCCTCTAGCTGGACTGCACAGCCATGCACTGGGCCTGCCGTGGGGGGCACCTGGATGTGGTGAAACTCTTGCAAAGCCGAGGGGCAGACACCAACCTGCGGGATAAGGTGAGGCCACAAGTAATCCTCAGGGTAGGGTCCGGCGAACCATGGGACGGGGGCAGAAATGCGCAGGAAGGTGAGGAACTTGCCAAGGAGCTGCTCAAGTTGCTGTGAGGACGAGGGGGGCCCCCATAGCAATGGCAGGTTCTGGAGACCGCTCTCTTGGGGCAGAGAGGAGTAGGAAAAAACGCCAGGGAGAAAAGAACCATTATTGGGGGGACTCTGGAAGCACCCCAACGTTTGTCCATCTGTGTGATCTATCACGCGCTTTTGTTCCTCCAGCCGCCAGGCTCTCATTTATTCACTTGCTATTTCTCTATTCGTTCCTTTGGTGTGGCCTTAGACAAGAAACAAGCACTACGCTTTGGGTTGCCATCTGTGAAAATGCCCTGTAGAAAGTTAAATGGGGAAAATATAAAAAAGTTTTCATCCAACAGAAGGCGAGTATTGAGTAAGCTTTTGCCACGCTCTGCGTGGTTATTGCTGTTAAAGATTATTAAAAAGACGAGAGGACGGTGGGGGGCGTTATACAGGAGTCAAGGTGCTGCCTTGCATGTGACTGACTCAGGTTGGACGCCTGCAACACATGGTTCCGAATACCACCAGGTGTGAGCCCCAGACAAGAGACGAGAGCAACCTGAGAAGCACCACTGAGGCACCCCCACACCCAAATAAATAAAAAATGAGAGCAGAGTAGCTTGTAACTAAGTAAAGAGGGCCGCGGAGAAAGCTTCCCAGAGGAGGTGTCCTGTAACACTTTAGAGTTAGACCACTGGAGATCTGAGGGTGCTGGAGGAATGGGAGGGAAGGGCCTTGGACAGTGGGGGAGGGATCCAGGCACTCTGGCCAGGGGAAGGTGTGCCCACACTGCAGGAATAAAACTTCAGGACAGTGGTGGTCTGAGGCCCCTGGTGGTGGTGGTGAAGGTGCAAGATCACAGTCCTGAGTGCCATTGTAGTTGTCAGCACTGTGGCACTGCACTGTCCTCCCATTATTCATTGATTTGCTTGAGCGGGCGCAGTAACGTGTCGTTGTGAGACTTGTTGTTACTGTGTCTGGCATATCGAATGCGTCACGGGCAGCTTGCCAGGCTTTGCCATGCGGGCGAGATACCCTCGGTAGCTTGCCAGGCTCTCCGAGAGGAGCGGAGGAATCAAACCCGGCTCGGCCGGGCTGGCCGTGCGCAAGGCAAACGCCCTACCGCTGTGCTATTGCTTCAGCCCTAGTTGTAAGCATGTCACCTAAACGACAATAAACAATTTTTTAAAAAATCTTCAACAGAAAGTGTTGGGCCACAGGATAGGATCAGGATGACGGTAGCACTGCCTCCCTCAGGGGTTCAGGTCAGACACTAGTATGAGAGTCAGGGCAAAAGCCCACCCAGAGGCCCCAGAGTCTCTCCCTCCCCACCCAGCTTCTGAGCACCCCGCTGCACGTGGCAGTTCGGACAGGGCACGTAGAGATCGTGGAGCACTTCCTGTCCCTGGGCCTGGACATCAACGCCAAGGACAGGGTGAGTGCCCTGTGTGCGCTGCGGCCACCCTACCCCGCCCCCCCAAGGATTCCCACAGGCCCTTGTGCTAATTGTCACCCGGGGGTCTAGGAAGGGGACAGCGCCCTGCACGACGCCGTGAGGCTCAACCGCTACAAGATCATTAAACTGCTACTCCTGCATGGGGCTGACATGGCCACCAAGAACCTGGTGAGTTCTTCCTGCCCCCCTGGACATGCGGGAAGCAGGGGGTGGTGAGACCAGCCTGCCCCCGAGCAACGCCAGTGTGTGCAGCCTCTCATCTCCCCAGCTCGCTGGCCAGCCTCAGTCCAGAGCACCAGTGCAGAGAAACAGCCTATGAGGGGCACTTCCTAAATCTCCCCCAAACAGACCACAGGGGCTTCTAACGTTCTGACCCAGGCAGGCCTCAATTCTGGAGGACACAAGTAGGGGCCCTGGAAGTTGATGGCACCGCCAACCCTGACATTCTACTTTGGTCCTAGTGGTCCTCGGGTTCTCTTCGGAGTCCATGTCCCTCATGCAAACTTCCTTAGGGGTCCAGAGCAACCACACACACACATACAAAAAGAGGAATGGGAAGGGTGCCCCAGCCCCTAGAAAAGTGAAGGGGGTGATGGGAAGGCCAGGAAGATTTGGGAGCGGGGTAGTTGAGGGTCTCACACTGTGGCCCCAATGCTTTTGGGGGCCAGAGAATCCTCTGTTGTGGGGCTGCTGCCCTGTGCCTTGGAGGAATCTAAGCGGCACCCTAAGGTGCCGTAGTGCTTCAAGCCAACAGGCCTGCACGCGGACCCCCAGGCACTGGCATGGCCCAGCCCGGGAACCTCAGTGTGGAGGAGCCCCCCACCCCCCTGCCTCATACAGACTTCAGAGCACTGACAGGCCCCTACTCTGGGTTCCTGCAGGCAGGAAAGACCCCCACGGACCTGGTGCAGCTGTGGCAAGCTGATGCCCTCCAAGCTCTGGAGCACCCTGAGCTCGATTCAGAGCAGAACGGGCTGGAGAGGCCTGCGGAGAGTGGGCGGGAGACCCCCCAGCCTGCGCCAGCCCAGTAAATGCCCGGCCCTGCTCAGCCAGAGAGGGTGGTCAGCATGAGCACAGAGCCAGCACCCAGCTGTTCCTCTCTGCGTTTTGATCTGGAAGAGCCCACATGCTACTGCAACACAAAATAAATCATTTTTGCTATTTGTGATGTGTGTGTGTCTGTGTTTTATTTCATCTGACTGTACCCCCTAGGGTTTTTCAGCTTGCTCCTTCTTCTTCTTCTTCTTCTTCTTATTATTATTATTATTATTTGTCTTGTTTGGTTTGTTCTTTGGGCAACACCCAAGCAATGCTCAGGGGTGCTCTGCACTCAGGAATCACTCCTGGCTTGGGAGACCATGTGGGGCCGCTAGAGATCACACCCCATCAGCAGTTGCAAGGCAAATGCCCTACCCACTGTAGGCTCGCTCTGGTCCCATGTATTTGATTTGGGGACCACCCCCGGCGATGCCCAGGAGTTACTCCTAGAGTTGCTCGAAAAACCACAGCTGGGGCAGGGGAGGGGGGGTTCCTGGGGATCGAACCCAGGTCAGCCACAAGCAATGCAAAGCAAGACAGGCATCCCTACCCGCTGGACCATCGCTCCAGCAGCTGCCCAGCTGCCTGTGTCCACCTGCTGCTTTCTTGTTGAGCTTTCTCCCCTGCCACCCTTCCTCCTAGACCTCCAGTCTGGGCTGCAGCGCGCAGCCCCGGGGGCCCAGCCCAGGCGTGTCAGCGGGCAGCCGGGCAGGAGTCGGCAGCCGCTTCTCGCCCGGACCGTGGCTCCTCCCACTGGGCAGGGCGGGCTCAGCCCATCATCAGCCCGGCCCAGAGGCGGGCAGGCGCGGGCCGGAAGCTCCCGGTGGCTGCGGCGGGGAACTGGAGGCGGGGAGACGGGAGGGCTCCCCTGCAGCTCTGCTTGGGTGTGGGGACCCCAGAGGCCAACTTCCCTCTGGGAGGCCCTGGTGGTGGTATTTCTCAGCCGCCCCCCAACGGGAGGGAAGACTCCCGCACCCCCAGGCCTGGCTCCCTGGCCTCTGACCCTGGGGGACACCCCGCCCACCTCTGACCCAGCGCCCACAAGCTGGGGGGCAACCAATTTTTAACTCGACACGTTGATCATTAACCAGGGTAGGAAGGGGTCCAAACTCACCTCCCTTGGGGGCAGAGACCAGCTGGACCCCCGCCGCCTCCAGAGATGCTGGCGCCCCGAATCTGCGCCGCCCTGTGGCCTGGGCTGAGCAGGGGCTTGTCCAGGAAAGTGGGGGGCAGGACCTCGGGAGAGGGGAAGAAGGTGGACGTTGCCGGCATCTACCCGCCCGTGACCACCCCGTTCACGGCCACTGCAGAGGTGGACTATGGGAAGCTGGAGGACAATGTGCGCAAACTCAGCACCTTACCCCTACGAGGTAAGTGGAGTTGGGGTGCCAGAGACACCCCCCCACATACACACACTCCTCAGCTTCCTAGAAACCTCAGGAAGGGACACAGGCTCTCAGAAGCTGCTCGCGGACAGTCGGAGCTTTGGGGATCAATGTGTTTGGTTGGTTTTGGGGCTACACCTGGCAGTGCTCAGGGCTTATTCCTGGCTCTGCACTCAGGGATCACTTCTGGTGGGCTCAGGGACTATATGGGGTGCCGGGGATCGAACCTGGGTCCACCACGGGCAAGGCAAGCACCCTACCCACTGTGCTACCGCTCTGGCCCCCTAGCGATTTATTTTTAAAAATATTTTATTGAAGGGACCCAGGTTTTCAATACTGTTGGTGGCCAGGCGTCTTGCACGCAAGGATCCCACCAGACTGTTTCCCGCCCCACCCCACCCCCCACCATGATATGGTCACATCATGTTATTTTTGACTATATTTTATTAGGAGGGGGTGATTTTATTGTGGAGCAGAAGTGGGAGCTCCAGGCAGAAGTTGGGAGATGTGTGCCTCCTCCCTGCTGTCCTGTGGCCTGCAACTGAGTCTCACCTGCCTTAGTTTCCCCAGGAGTGAACTGCTCAAACTCCTTCCTGTCCCCTGCTGGTGTGGAGTCCAGCCAGATAACGGGTCTGAAAGTCCCTGGTCAGCAGGCCGCCCTACCCCTGAGAGGGCGGCCCCGCCTGCTGGACCTCCTCCCCTTGTTTGCGCTTCCTCTCCTGGGTGAAGCCTCTCTCGGTCCAGGGCGTTCCTGTCCTGGACCCTCTGGCTTCTTTTCCTCTTCACACCTCGGTGTCCTCTCTCTCTAAGGTCACCAGGGTCACCCTCCACGTACAACAAGCCAGAGGCACAGGAAAACGAGACAGGAGAAATGACCAGTCCCAGCGGCCTGCCCTCCACTGTCACCTCTGACCATTCTCTGTGGGAGGACTCACAACGACCGCATTTCCCAGATAGAAAAGTGGAGGCTCTGGGGCTGGAGCACACCGGGTAGGGCATTTGCCTTGCATGCAGCCAACCTGGGTTCAATTCCCAGCATCCCATATGGTCCCCCCCAAGCACTGCCAGAAGTAATTCCTGAGTGCAGAGCCAAGAGTAACCTCTGTGCATTGCCGGGTGTGACCCAAAAAGCAAAAAAAAAAAAAAAGTGGGGGGATCTCGTAGCCCAGGGTGTACCTAGTGTCTGGCTGAACTGAGACTCAAGTTGGGTCTGACTGCACAGCTGTGACGGCTGCTCGGCTAGTAAGTGGGTTGGGGTCCATGGGTGGGTCTGCTCCACATCAGCTCTGGGGTATAACAGCTGCTCTGATTGAGGCTACATAGTGATGCTGTGAAGAACACAGATTCTGTTGAGTCCGAGAGTACTCAAAGGCTGGAGCGTGGGCTTTGCATGCAGGTGGCCCCAGTTTGATCCCTGGCACTACATGGTCAGTCCCACCCCAACGCCAAGTACCACTCGATATTGGCGAGGTGGCCCCTGAGCACTATTCAGGGTGGTCTGGGGGAGCCCCAGTTTCACAGAGCAGCACCACCACCTCAGACCCTTGCGCCAAACTGTGGGCCTGATTGAGAATACCTGAAAGGGGCTCCCAGGCTTTGGGTGGGTCCTCTTCATCATCATCACCTTTATCATAAAGGGAGAGAGAAGAAAAAAGTTTCACAGGCGCTGGATCCCAATCCCAGCTCCACCATTCTCTTTAGCTCGTCTCCCCATCTGCCCCATGCGAGTGAAGACCCCATCTCCTCTGGCCTGACAATTCAAGTGGGAACAAACTGGACAGTGTCCAGCCTCAGAAAGCGCTGGTCATCAGGCCGGAGAGACAGTCCAACAGTCCATGAGTGCATGCTTTACATGCAGGAGGCCTGGCTTTGGTCCGCTTTGCTGGTCCCCTGAACTCTGCTGGGAATGAGCCCCAAACACAGAGCTCAGAGTAGCCTCTCAGCACTGCCAGGTGTGGCCCCCAAATGCAACCCAACAGCAGCAATAATATGGAGGAGTGTTGGTTCAGTGGGAACACTGAGACGAATGCCAATCTGCTGGGCCCGGGCCCCAAAGTTGCTTAATGACGGTGACAGCTGGCCTGCCCATAGCTCAGTGCTGAGAGAATATAACTCTGGGGAGGGGACAGCAGCTGCCCTGTGAGTGCCCTGTTGGACAGTCACTTTGACTCTCGTTGCCGCGTGGTTTCCGCTCCTCGGGGCTGGCCGCTGTGGGCCGAGTCTCTCTTGGAGCTAACTGAGCAGTTGGTGACCTTAGAGGGGCAAAGACTTGCTTCCCATTCCAAGTTCAAGGGCACCCCAGTGCAGCAGGCAGAGAGGGGAACTTTGAACTCGTATCTGCCTGTCACCCAGAGAATCCACTGAGAACACCAGGCTCTCTACCCTTCCTCCCACCCACCCCTGCAGCGCCCTTGGGACGAGTGTGTGGGGCCAGCAGCAAAGGCCGCAATCGACTTGGCAGACCAGGGTCCCCTGGGGCCACACAACTGCTGTCTCCTTCACCTCTCTCCAGCTCACACACGGGCCGGGGAGGGGCAGCTGGAGAAAAAGATTCCAGCATCTAGAGTTGGAAGAGGAGGGTCAGAATCCTGGCTGTGGGGCTGGAGAGAGTACATGTGGCCCGACGCCATGGAAGGTCTCTGGGCACCACCAGGAGTGACCCCTGAGCACAGAGATGGTAGTAAGCCCTGAGGACAGCTGGGTATGCAGCCCCAAATCTTTGCATCCCCCTGCTCCCCCAAATAGAAGAATCTTGGTTCTGAGGACTGGAGCAGTAGTACAGCGCGGAGGGTGCTGGCCTCATATGCAGTCAATCTGGGTTTAATCCCCGGCACCCCATATGGTTCTCCTGAGCCCTGCCAGGAGTGATCCCTGAGCACAGAGCCGGAGTAAACCCTGAGCACTGTCAGATGTGAACCGAAAACAAAAAACAATCCTGGTCCAGGGAGACGGGCCAGGACACCGTATGGAAGACATGTATATTGTCCAGAGCCATGGCTGTGTTTGAGCACATGTATCCCATGACCCTGCCCCATACGTAACACATGGTCCTTTGAGCACGACTAGAAGCAGTTTTAATTTTGACCAGTTTTCCATACTAGGCACCACTGGTTGTAATCCCCACACAAAAACAAAAGTGGCTGGAGAGAGAGTACAGCGAGGAGGGCACTTGACTTGCATGCGGCTAACTCAGGTTTGATCCCCAAGGCCCCATTTGGTCTCCCGAGCTCGCCAAAAGTGATCCCTGTGCTCAGAGCCAGGAGTAAAACCCTCAGTGCCACTGGGTGTGGCTCCCAAACACAAAGCACGCACGGGGCAAAGGCCCTTACCTTGTATGCAGCCAACCCCACTAGATCCCAGGCACCCCGTATGGTCCCCCGAGCCCCGCCAAGCGTGAATCTTGAGTGCAGCGCCAGGAGTAAGCCCTGAGCACAGCCAAGTACGGGCCCCAGACTCAAAGCCCTGAAGAAGCAGCATCGTGCTTTGGACAGTGTCTCGCCTCCGGAGACATGTCGGCCTTTCAAAAGCAGTTCATTCATTTTAGAATAACTGAGTCACCAGGTGCAACATGGACAACATGATCCTTCCAAGGAGCCAAACTTGCAGCCATGGTGCAGAGAACAGGAGCCTACTCCTGTATGTCCCTACTCCTAAGACATACTCCGAATGTCCTGAAAGTGATCAGTGTGTAACTTTATTTCTAGAATCTGTATTTCAGGTGGAGAGAGTTCAGGTGGGTTGAGCACATGCTCTGCATGCATTAGGTTCGATCCCCAGCAACCCTATAGATCCCCAAGCACAGCCAAGAGTAGCCTCCAAGCACCTAAGTATCCTGGGGGGGTGGGGGGGTGGAAGGGTGGAAATCAAATAAAATCTTTTTTCTCTTGTTCTATCCTAGCCCCACAGAGTGGGCTTTGCAGCTCAGCACGGGGACAGCAGTAGGAACCACCACTTACGCCACTGTCAGCCCCATCCCCCCACCCAGCGACAAGTAGAGCCTTCTGAGAGGAGCTTGTGAGGGTGGCTAAGAGTGTGGTTCAGTAGAAGCACCTGTTGCCTGCCTGAGGCTTCACGTTTAATCCCCAGCCCTGGGCCATGTTGCCAGGTGTGGTCCCTGAGGAAGCTGGGCGTGGCCCATTGCATCACAGTGGGTGCCCTGGCTAGCACTGCAACAAACTGCCTTTTTTGGTTAAATTTTTCCACTGTTAATTTGTTACCGATGATTTGAATAGAGTATTATTTCATTGCTGCCTGGGATCAAACCCAAGGCCTCATGTATGCAAGGCAAGTGCTCTGCCGATAAGCTGTGTCCTGCCTCTTACAAAATAATTTAAAATTAAAAATCTAACCAGAGGAGCCAGAGAGAGAGAGCACAGATGAAAAGGTGTTTGCCTTGCATCCCACCAATGCTGGTTAGAATCCTTGACCCCAGGACATGTGCACCACCAAGAGTGACCCCCGAGCCCAGAGCCAGAGTAAACCTTGGGCATTGCTGGGTATGGACACCCCCCTAAAAAATTCTAACCAGAGACTGGAAGGTGGGATTGTCGCTGAAGAGCAGTTTGTCTCTGATCTCACACCCCCAAATCACCACCAATGTGAGCTTTGAATTGCTGTTCCCAAACAAGGGAAGTGGATGAACTGGCTACTTCTGCCACACCACTGGGGAAGTGATGACCTATCAAACCAGAAGCTCCTGTTCTAAGTGTGTAAGAGTTAACCATGGTTTCCAGTGCCTGGGTATTTTTGTGTATATTAAAGCCACTGCTTTAAGAAAACATTTTGTGTATATTAAATTTTTATGCTTAAGTTTTTTTTTTTTGAGTATGTTAAAGCCAGTGCTTTAAGAAGCATCGTATTTACAATATTGCACTTGGGGGGCCTGAGAGGTGGTACAGTGGGTAGGGTACTTGCCTTGCACATGGCTTACGCAGGTCTGATTTCCGGCGCCACATATGGTCCCCCCGAGCTGACTCCAGGAGTGATCCCTGCGCAGAGAGAGTCAGGAGTAACCCCCGAGCAGTTTAAAACCCAAACAAATGATAATTCATCATAAAAGAGGTAGGAAACTTCCACCTGGTGAAACCCACCCCATGAAACTCCTGTCCTTACTGCCCACACTGCTGAACTCAGGTCACTTCTGAGGAAGTTCCCTTCAGGCCCTTCTCCTCCCGCCCCTGCTCCGGAAGTGGATGATGCTTCTAGTAGAGATGGAACAGGCTCAGTTGGACCCGGGTGTAGGCTGCAGATGGAAGGAGATGTAGGTCCCAGAGGCCGGCCCAGCCAAGAGACTCCTCTACCTCCTGTGGACCACCACGGGGGAAAAGAAGGCTGGAAGATAAGGACAGAGCTGCAGAACAGCTTATGACAGAAGGGACAGGGGCCCTCCCACTCACCTTGGGGACAGGATTTGGTGCCCTCCCCAAGCCCCAGGGGTGGTTGTGTCCTTTCCTCATCCTGGCCCCCAGCTGCCTTGCTCACAATGGAGTCCATTGCTGAGGCGGGAGGGGCACCCTAGGCCAGGCGGGGGAGGTGGATCAGCCCAGCAGACACCCGCAGGGAGCCTGGCACCCAGCATGAGTCAGACCACCCCGGCTCCCCCACCCCCAGTGTGCTCTTAGCGCTGCGTGCCTGGCTGGGGTCCTGGAGACCTTCCTAGAGTTTGCCCAGATACCATCATGCAAGGTGGTACTGGGGACTGCCCTCTTCCTTGGGGTCGGAGGCCTCCTCGTGTGGATTGAGAGGAAGAGAAGGCGGAAGTCAAACTGGGGGAGTTCACAGGGCCGGCCGGAATGCCGCCAAGGTAAAAATGACAACTGGATCAAATCTCACTTTAGCCGCTTCTCGGAAGACAAGTTGCTTCGGAAGAAAAGTGGCGGCAGCAACATGGGTGTCTCCACGGCTAACAGCAGCATCGTCACTGCCAAACTGTGTGACAGTAGCTGCGAAAAGACCCCCACCCTTCAGAGGGAATCTGTCAACAGCGTAAAGGAAGGAGGAAAGGAGACCAGCCAGCCGGGTGCTGGGACCCCGGTGGTCCAGAATGGCTACAGGGAGAGTGCGAAAGCCTCGGCCACAGAAGATGGCATCTGGGCCACCGTGGCCGCCTGTGCCAGAGAAATTGATACTAAGGGGCGGCAGCTGGCAAACTCCATGATGACTTGTGCCAACAGTTACCAGCAGTCGGGCCACCTGGAGAGCAAGGACTTAAGCCCAGAGATGCTCAAGGGCTTTGAGGACGTGGAGATGAAGATGAAGACAAATTTCATCTCCCAGGGAGAAACTGGCATTGCGGGAATGAGCCATCCACCATCCCTCCACAGCCAGACTAGCCAAAGCCCCCAGAGCCGCCAGAGCCAGCAGAGTTTCCACACCCAGCAGAGCTACCACAGCCACCACAGCCCACAGAGTCAATACAGCCCACAGAGTTACTACAGCGCTAAGAGCCACCAAAGCCCCCAGAGCCGCCAAAGCTCTCAGAGTCACCACAGCCCTCAGAGCCACCACACCCCACAGAGCAACTTGAGCCAGCAGAGCCACGGGAGCCTCCAGGGCCACCAAAGCCAACAGAGCCACGGGAGCCTCCAGGGCCACCAAAGCCAACAGAGCCACGGGAGCTTCCAGGGCCACCAAAGCCAACAGAGCCACGGGAGCCTCCAGGGCCACCAAAGCCAACAGAGCCACGGGAGCCTCCAGGGCCACCAAAGCCAACAGAGCCACGGGAGCCTCCAGGGCCACCAAAGCCAACAGAGCCACGGGAGCCTCCAGGACCACCAAAGCCAACAGAGCCACGGGAGCCTCCAGGGCCACCAAAGCCAACAGAGCCACGGGAGCTTCCAGGGCCACCAAAGCCAACAGAGCCACGGGAGCCTCCAGGACCACCAAAGCCAACAGAGCCACGGGAGCCTCCAGGGCCACCAAAGCCAACAGAGCCACGGGAGCCTCCAGGGTCACCAAAGCCAACAGAGCCACGGGAGCCTCCAGGGCCATCAAAGCCAACAGAGCCACGGGAGCCTCCAGGGCCATCAAAGCCAACAGAGCCACGGGAGCCTCCAGGGCCATCAAAGCCAACAGAGCCACGGGAGCCTCCAGGGCCACCAAAGCCAACAGAGCCACGGGAGCCTCCAGGGCCACCAAAGCCAACAGAGCCATGGGAGCCTCCAGGACCACCAAAGCCAGCACAGCCACGGGACCCTCCCAGACCATCAAAGCCAGCATAGCCACGGGACCCTTCCGGACCACCCAAGCCAGCACAGCCACGGGACCCTTCCGGACCACCCAAGCCAGCACAGCCATGGGATCCTCCAGGACCACCAAACCCAGCAGAGCCACGGGAGCCTCCAGGACCACCAAAGCCAGCAGAGCAACCTAAACTCTGTACAGGACCAGAAGAGCACCCTCACCGCCCTGCAGAGTCAGCAGAGCAACGTGAACTCTTAGGGCCACCAGGCCCAAGAGCCTCCTGCACGCCTCAGGGCCCACAGAGCCTCCCGCATGCTCCAGGGCCCACAGAGCTGCAGAACTATAGCCTGCGCACCTCGACACAAACGCAGCTGCCCCTCCCCCCGCAGGGCTGGCACGACATGTATGCCCATCTCCTCTCCTCTGGGGAAGCCTAGGAAGCCCCAGGCCCGGGGCTGCCACCAAAATACCTTCCTCCTAGGGACCCCACAGGGATCATGGGCACCTTGACTGGGGTCTGCCCCAAAGAATCGATGATCCCTGCTGGACTGCTGGGAGGAAGCGAAGCCACTGAGCCTCAGAGGTCCTTCCTGGAGACACACTGAGAGAACAGATGAGGCAGATCCCAGGAGCGCCTAAGACCCCCACGGCTGCAGGCACCTGGGATGGAGCCAATAAAGCCTTGTCCCCTTCCCTCTGCGTCGGGGTTACTCTGTGACCACCTTGACCGGAGCAGTGCTGGGTAGCAGGCCACTTCCTCTGTCTCTTCCCAGGGCTGATTTGAAACTCCATCAAAGAACTTCCTCAGGTCACAGGTTTGCGGAACAGGTGACTGGGGGAACCCCAGCCCTCCAGCCCCGCTGTGGCCTGGGAAGGAGAAAACACCAGGTGGGAAAGGGTAAGGAAGAGATGATTCCCAAGTGGAGTAAAGTCAGCAGGTAGGAGGCCCCCTCACCATGCCATCCCTGTTCCCATTTCTGAAGTCGGGGTCTGAAACTGGCAGATCGCAGGAAGTTCCTCTGAGGTCTGACCTGTGCCCCTCCAAGACCCTGTATCAGAAATGATATTGTCATTTGTGAAGCCTGGATGAGGGCTGTGTGGGAATTCCTCCCAGACCAGACTGTCTGTGCAAGTTTTCTGTCACTCTGAATTTACTTCAAAGTCAAAAGTGTTTAGACCATGTAGTTATGGCCAAGTCAAGTCAAAATTTCATTGCAGTTGTGCTACCAGGAAAATGGCTTCAAAACTGTTAACTCAGGCATGTACGCTTTGCGTTTTTGGTTGCTTGTTTGGGGGCCATATCAGTGTCTGTGCTCAGGCAATGCTTGGGGGACCCTTTGTGATACCAGGATTCAGACCTAATTCAAGGTCATAGCCGCGTGCTCGGCAGGTACTGCAGCCCTTGCTCCCCCAAGTATGTACCTTTTCTTCCCCTTTAAGTTAGTATTTATTGCTTCTGAAATTTAATTTCTTCCCAAAGTGATGCTTGTTTTTAAAAAAGCAAACAAACTTGTTTTTCTGAGTAGTAAGAGCAAATGTCGCTGAGTAGCAAACCTGCAGGCTACATCCTAAACTGTGCTAGATAATTTATAACCAATCCTAGTTATAGGATTAGCTGTCCTTTCAGAAACTATTTTAATTATTGAAGAAGCTGTCCTATATTAAGCATGTACTCTTGGAAAGCATTTGGGGGGTGGTAATGGGAAGCTCTTCAAAGTAGTGCTCTAGGGTCCAAGGGCCACTCCCGGTAATATTTAGCCAATGGTGAGGTGCTGCCCAGGCTTTCAGTGATTGGAACCCAGGACCAACCTGCGTGCTCAGGGCCTCCAGGGTCACACCCAGCGATGTGGTGCTGGGGATGGAGCCTGGGTGAGCACGCCGGGTATGTGCCCTCACCACTCTGCTGTCTCCTGGATCCCCGGGAAGAATTTATTTATTTACTATTATTATTTTTGGTTTGGGGGCCACACCCGGCAGTGCTCAGAAATCACTCCTCCCCGTACCCCCTCTCTCTCTCTGGCCAGGGAGAATGCTTTCATGAACCTGGTCATAGCATATACAAAGAAGGTGCCTGGGGCTGGAGCGATAGTATATCAGGCAGGACCTTGCATGCCACCAGCCTGGATTTGACCCCCAGCATCCTACATGGATCCCATTTGGTCCCCCAGCACCACCAGGAGTGATTCCTGACTCTGAGCACAGAAGTAAGCTCTGAGCATCACCTGGTATGGTCCCAAAACAAACAAAAAACAAATTAAAAAAAAAAAAAAAGAAGGTGCCTGACTGCTAGACTCTGAGTCAGCTGGGGTACAGCTGGGAGTGGGGGATTCATGGGGGCCGCTTTTCCAGGTTAAGTCTTCAGTCTGTGAAAGCTCACCAGAGGAAGTTGCTGAAGCATTTGACCAGGAATCCTCATTTCTTTACTTCTTTTTTTTTTAAGGCCACACCCAGTGATACTCTGGCTACTGCTGGTTCTGTGTTGGGGTGGGGCTATGTCACTCCTGACAGTATTCAAGGGACTGTGTGGTGCCAAGGGATGGAACCCAGGCTGCTCACAGACACAGCAACTATCCTAGCCTTTGGAGCCATCCCCCCCCCCCCAGGAATGCTCATTTCCTCCTTCTGGGGGTTCGGAATTACACAGACCAAAAAGTTTTGCCCACAGAAGTTTGAATTATTTTTTTACATTGTTCACATACCTTCACAGTGCTCAGTGTCACGAATGGGGACAGCGGGAGCAGGATGCCCCTGTCCAGGTGACTCTTGATGACGTCGGGCAGTGCTAAGTGCCGAGTACAGATGTGGTGTGCCAGTGGCGGCTTGGGGTTTAAGGAAAATGCTCTGCAGGTCACTGCTCAGGGCTGCAGCAGGGGGTGCTCCAGGGAACAGGAAACTGTGTGAGCGAGGTGCGTGGGCCCCTTGAGGGAAGGGGAATATGGAGAGGGAAGCAAAAGGTGGGAGGAGGAAAGGTGAGCGGAGACTAAAACGCAGAGCCAGGAAGATCCAGAGATCACAGCAGCTGAGTCTGCCTTCAGCTGACAAGAGTACCCACTGGAGAAGTTTTGCTCATCCCACAGGTGGGGGTTTAGGAGGTTGAAGGGTTCTGAGGATCTCTGTGCCTTTGGGAGCGCTCACTGGATGGTGCTCAGGGAACCATGTGGTCCTGGAGAGGAACCCAGGGATGCTCTGTGTGTGCAAAGCCTGTGCTCTGGACCTTGACCCCATCCCCGCGGCCCTCTTTGCGTTTTGGAAGGGGACGACAGGGAAGGACAGAGGTGTGTCATGGAGGAATGCCAGGGAGACTTCTCAGAGGAGGTGGCAATAGCAGAAAACTAGGGTTCCTTTTAGCCACAGTAGTTTCTGGCACATCACTGGCCCTAATCCACCCCCAACCCCACTCCCACTTCTCCGGAACTGGGACAGTGGCTTCCCAAATGAACTGTGTCTCCCCTCCAGAGGGGGCACAGGGGAGCTGTCCTCAGATCCCTGCCAGGCTGTTCCTGATGGCGGCCGAGCTCTTCCTCCACCCCCAGAATCAGCACAGCTCCACCAAAGCACTTGACAAATTGCATCTCATTTAAACCCCACAACCCTGGGGCCGGAGTGGTAGTACAGTGGGTAGGGTGTTTGCCTTGCATGCAGCCAGCCTGGGTTTGCTCCCCAGCATGCCATATGGTACGCCATACCCTGCCAAGAGTATTTCCTTTGTGTGGAGGCAGGAGTAACACCTGAGCACCACCATGTGTGGCCCCCAAACGAACAAAATATCCCAGCAGTGCTCAGGGACTACTCCTGCCTCTGTGCTCAGGAATCTCTCCTGGTGGGGCTCAGAGGACAATATAGGGTGTCTTGGACACCATATGTGGGGCAGGAGAGCAAACCAGTGTAGGTGCTAGGCAAGGCAAGTGCCTTAACTCCTCTGCATGCTTTTAGGGTGTTGGAGTGCTGGTACGAGGAAGTTTCCATTTGTCCAAGCCATTTGCCCAGGATCCTAATTGGTGAGGGCCGCCTTGAGAATGAGCCCCAGCTTGCCCCGTACAGTGCCCACATCCCTGCCCCATCCCCAGCTCTGCTTCCTTTTCTCCTCTTTTCACTGCCTTCCGCACCCCACCATCTGGGACCCTGACCGTTTCCTCTCCTCTGCGCCCCTTGCCTGGCCCCAGACCCCCAGCCAAGGAGGAGGGACTCTGTAGTTTCTGTGACCTGTCACAGATCCTTCTCTTCTCCCCTCCCTTCCCCTCCCCTCCCCCACCCTCTCCTCATTCCTCTCTTCCCTCCCCTTCTGTCTCCTCTTCCCTCACTTCCCCTCCTTGTTCCTCTCCTCTCTTCTCTCCCCTCCTCTCCTCTTCTCTCCCCTCTTCTCCCCTCCCCGCCTTCTCTCCCATCCCCTCCTCTTCAGACCAAAGGTGGCATTCAGGGGTGACTAAGAGTGGTGCTTGGGGAGTCCATGCAGTGCTAGGGATGGAATCTGGCTGCATCCTCTGTCCTTTTGAGACATCTTCCCAGCCTGCTATGCATTTTCTAGTTTGAGCCCTTTATTTTGTTTTATTTATTTATTTATTTTTTGCTTTTTCTTTTTCGGGGGAGCAATGCTCAGAGGTTAGTCCTGGCTCTGCGCTCAGGAATTACTCCTGGCGGTGCTTGGGGAACCATATGAGATGCCAGAGATGGAACCAATGCATGTGCATGGGTCAGCCACATGCACAGCAAAACACCCTACCCACTGTACTATCGCTCCAGCCCCTGTTTGAGCCTGTAGACAGCCCTCAGGTAGGACTGAAATGAGTTTATTGCTATCCCACAGGAAAGAAAGAGGGCTAAAATTTGTAAGTCTACAACTGTACCTCATGGTGCTTCACTAATAAAAAAAAAAGAACTAACTATAACAAGAAAAAAAAAGAAAGAGGGCCAAAGAGACAGTCAGACAGGCTGGCTCTCAGGTTCTGCATGTGGGGGACAGGGTTCCATGCCTGATGGAGGAGCTGGAGGCCTGGAGACCTGGGTCCAAAGACCAGAGTGCGTGGTTTGCATGTCGGAGCCCTGGGTTGGATCCCAGCCCCAGAAAGGAAAAAAAAAAAATCCAGAGACTCGGCAACAAATGTGCAGGCTCAGGCTTCCCTCTTTGCTGGCTGGCATTCGGTGGGCCCCCTGCCGGCTTTCTCTCCCCTCCTCCCGGTAACCGCTGTGGTCGGGTGCTCCGGCCATGACCAGGAGCGGCTGGGCACCCAGAGTGTGGGGTTGGGGCAGCTGCACCCCCC